TTTATGAATAGTAAATTTAAAATAGTATTTTAATTTTATTTTTAATTGCAAAGTATAGAGTTTCTAATGAGTGAAACATACAATAAAATTTGAACAACATGTATATATTATATACACATATATATGTGCGTAATTTGTACACATTATATGTTATATATATGTACGTAAAATATAACATATTATATATGTGTCACATAATATACATTAATTTGTACCTGCATTGAAATAAAAAACTGTACACCTTATATCTTGCTTATACAATTAAATTTATGATTAAAATGAATAACATTTAACTATACATTAAACTTGATCGAATATGTAACATCTTCTAAGTAATCTAGTTTCTAAAATAATCTTTTATATATATATTTGATATATTTAATATATTTTTATACTTATATACTTTACATATATTTTTATATTTAAATGTATTTTGTAATTTTGTATATTATATTATATTATATTTTGTATATTATATATTAATACGTAATCATTTAATAAATGATCATTTCACAAGCGTGTAATTTATCTCACTTTTCATTAAGTTATAGTGACGAAAGAAACGTGGACTTGTCAGGAAACGATTAGATTACTTGTCTAAACGACAAGTTTCGTTTTATTATTTCTTTTTTGGCAACTAGTTACAACATGTGGTGAACTTAGATGCAGCATGTGATGAAATTGACCGCATATTTCTGGCGAGAAATTCTAGATATGATGAAATATGAGATAGTAATCTATATTTTTTATTATTTGCAATATTTCGATTGTGAACGGGGAATCGTGAGCAATCTCTGTTAATTCTGCACAAGATTTTCGAATTTCTATGTTTTGACCTTGTTCTTACTTTAGCGAACAAAAAACGGATTTGTGATTCTTATAACATTAATGAACTTTAATTTGTTGGTTCTCGTAATTTTAAACTGTTAATTTAATTTTTAATTATAATATAATGTAGAAACGCATTTTATTGCCTTTAATATATCTCTGATAGTTGTATGGTGGGCTTCGTGATTCTTTGTCCACAATTTTCGTTTCTCTCTAAATTTATCTGACTTTAAATAATAAATAGAATATTCAAAATCTTATTTTTCATTAAATGTATTACATACGTATATATTACTACCATATTATTTAATATATACATTTATATGTGTATCCGTAGACATTAATTTACGTTAATACAAAAATCATAAATCATCATGTTTAGGCTCTATTTCTGTAATTGTGTTCGCAAAAATGTGAATCTGCATAAACATTCATAATCCATTTATTGGCAAAATTTAAACATGTATTTAAATTTTGTTTCAAAATGTATAATGTTTAATACAAAATTAAAACGAGAAATTATATTATATTAACATCATGTAACATTAAAAAATATTCAGATTAAAAATAAAAAAATATAAAACTAGACAGTTTTATTAACATTCGGAAGAAAAACCAATTAGATTAAAAATGACCGAAGAAACGATAGCAAGGTTGAACTTGATGCATTTTTGACACGTTCGGTTTCATTGTAACGACATGCACGCTGTAACAAAATCGTGCGAGGTATACAGACACTGTACACGAATGAAAATCAGACTTTCAGTAGCGTGCATTTCGAAATATCGAAAGTAGTTTTACTTTTTTCTGTCATCTGATCGATCCGCGCTCGACTTTACCTCACTTATGTACTTCTTGAACGAGTGGAAACAAAAAAAACAATAATGTTCTTCTTTATATTAATCGAATAATAGAACCTCGTTCTCGTGTCTTTTTTTTTTTTTTTTAACATTGTAATAGAGTGATTTACTTAAGTAAGACCATTGAAAAAAACTATTTTTTACGTAATGTGAATAAGAGTACTTCTTTGCCAAGTATTTATCGCAGGTTCGAAGAGATATTTAAATGGCCTTATTTAATTAAATGGATTATCTGTGTACTATTTATACAAATAGTAATATACTCCATACAATGATAAGTATTAAACTGCGGATTTTTATGCATTTATAGGAAATTTTGAAAGTGCGAAATTTGTGCATTCTATAATATGTCAAATTATTGTACATTGTATAATATCTGATATGTTAAAAAGATTTTCTATTCAGATTTTAGTTTTTTAATTATATTATATCTTTTAATTATATCAAAGATATTATTATATGTTTTAATTTAATTATATTATTTATATAATTATAAAAGTATGAATATCCATAAAGATCGTTTTGTTAAATTTAGGTGATGAAAATTCAAGAGAACTCAACATTTTGTCTTGAGTCTAATATTCAAGGTTCAATAAAAAGGCGATAAAAGAACCGTATATTGAATTTTAAAAGATGTAAAGGATGTAAAGATAGACTTAGCCAGGAGAAACATTTCTGAATGCTTTTTTTTAAATATTTGAATTTGGCATTTTTGGGGAAGAAAGCGACGAAGACATTTCTAATAATAAAACTGTGCTACTTAAGCAGAGAGTTAATTCAACAACAGTGAATACATAAATAATTAAAACAATCAAGAAAAATATATTGTAACACCAGATCTGTCATTTTTTTTTATGCATTTAAAGGATATACATATATCCAAGATATAAATATGTATATGAAAAAACGTAAAACATCTAGAATATAAAAAGATATGTAAAATATCTATAGTACAGAAAAAATATACAAGATATCCTAAATATAGGTCGCCAATATAAAGCAATTTGCATAAAAAATCTAGTCATTTTATAATATAAAAAAATACAGTAAATATAATAAATATAACAAAAAATAGTGTTTTAATATTGATCTAAATCAATTATTTAGATAAATTATTGAGAGAATTAGATCAATTATCAATTGTTGATGTAGTTAATCTACGAATTATTTTTTAGAAATTCGGACAAATAAGAAAGAAAATAATAAGGGAAAAACAACTTTCTTTGTTAAATTGATACCTCTTTAATTATAAATAGAATTTTTGGACTAACTCCATTTATTTCTTTATCTGATATAAGGTATGTAAGTATAAACTAATTTATTATATAAACATATGTACATACAATATATGTAATATATATTATATAATATATATTAGAATATAGTACATTTATAAGCTTATACATTTATGGAATTTCAGATTTTTCTGAATACAACTAATGAAATTAAACTTGAACAGAGATTGCATACCACAATTAATATTATGCTATAGATATTTTATATATTATGCTATTAATATTAAATATTTATATTATAGTTATAGATATTTTAGATATTTACATATATTAATAATTATTTATTAATTATAATAATTTTTTATGCCATTAAAAAACATTAGCATGGTGTTAAATTGTTATTGAATTAACATCTCAGATTTTTGTAGAATCTTTCAGACTGATTTCATTTATACAATAAAAATAGATACCATTTCTTTAAGTAATATAATCCACATATAATATAATATAATCATATGAAAAAAAATAACTATGTTTCATAATCATAAGTATATCAAACTATTGCCAAATTAACATCTTTCGAATTGTATAATCAATAATATATTATATTAAAAATAACAATGTACTTTTAGAGAAATTTAACTCGGAATATGCCTGCATGAACATTTATTCTCAGAGATAGAAATATTTTCTAATACACGGGTGATCATAAATAATTCAAAATGTGAAGAAACACCAGAATCACTTGAAATTTTTAATTTTACAAAAAAAGTGAATACGTGTAATTACAATTTATAATAGTCAGTCGAAAGATAAGAAGAATTCCTTCAACGATTGTGCAAACGAATAGAAATTGAATGTATTCTTTCGAATGTCGCGTCCTTCCGATTAATATAATTAAACGATTGCAAAATTGTACAAATCACGTGTTGCACTAATGGATCTGTATGGGTATGTATATTTGTTTGAAAATCGTTTCTGTTCGGTAAAATGTTTACTTAGTTTTCTATTCACGTGTTGATACTCGTGTTCTATTAGCCATTAGTTAATCTACCGAACAGTAAAAAAATAATGAATATTAATAAATAGATTTACCTTCATTAATATGTATTATATGAACTCTTTAATTGACCTATGTATTATATGAACTCTTTAATTGACAAGTGAATTATGTAAGTCTTTTCTTAATATTGTAAAAATTCTTTCGTATAATACTTTATGACAAATTAAGAAGAAATTAACTTTGTAATTATAAAAGGAAAATAAAGTAAAAAAAAATAAAGTAAAAGAATAGTAATTATGATAACATAAATTAAAAGAAATATATTTCTTTAAATAACAATGAATAAACAACTTGCAATGTAAAATTGGTTTTTATTTTTTATTAACAATCGAACTATCGATATAAAACTTGCATCAATTTAAATCTGAAAAATTTCTTTAAAAAGTTACAAATTGATCATTTGGATCATTTTGGTGATTTTGGCGTTAACACACAAGAAAATTAAATTAATAAATTTATGTGTTTATTAAATTAATTAAAAAAACGTGTATTCTTAATATTTATTATTTTTATAATAAATTTATTTTTCTTAATTTTGAATTTATTTCAAATTAATATATATATATAATTGTAATTAGACTACGGATTTTTATAGGAAGTGTGAAATTACACAAGCTGTACACAGTATGAAAGGACATGTAAAATAGTAGCGCTTTCTGTGACATATATTTAATATTATAAAATAATTCTCCACCGGGAATTCTACGTTTTTAATTACGTTCTTGAAAACATGCATTCGCGTAAAAACCCGTAGTAATATATGAAGTAATGAATTCATAATAATTAAAATATATATTTATATATACATAATTATATATTAATTATCTTTTATCTATCCAAAATGAAAACTTTTACCCATGTATCGTAATCAATAAAATATTTCTATTTACGATCTATATCACACGAAATCAATTAATCTTCATTCGTTGACATAATAACGACACGCTTTCTGACAAATCGAGGTTTAACAAACAAACCGGATATTTGAATATTAATATTCCTTCAAAAACTCACCATAGTAGAAATTGGTGTGTGGAACACTCAGCTTTTCCTCGTGCCATGTGTCCTCCGTCTCGATCGTGCGATTCCTCCGGTTGTCGATCAGCTCGATCAGCGTGAAATTGTTCACCGACGTGCTCTCATTTTGCGACAAAACTCGAAGTATCTCTTCCTCTTCTAGGGTGTTCAAGCTGCTGGACGTTATCACGTCGACCGATTTCCCGGCGTACGAGAGTTTCACTAGCAGAATAATCGTCCATGCTTTAACAAATATTCCCATTTTTGTAATAAAAAAAAAAAAAAAAAAAAAAAAAAAAAGAGCTACGACTCAAGCCGATAAATTTCTCTGTGTTGCTCGACTTTGCGAACGATCAGCGATCACAGTAACTCTACGCGATTTCTTCAACAGTCATCTTCGATCTTGAAAATACGAAATTGAACAGAGAAGTTGCTTCACAGACGAACTTCACAGTATCGCGGTCCTGAGTGCAGCGTAAGTTGCAGTAAGGCGTTTCTTTTTTCTTGTTTCGCGGAGGAGAAGAAAGTGCGAATGATCGAGAACGAAAGACAATTTTTAGAAGTGCGCCACCGAATGTTTCACGGACTCTGTAATGCTTGATCGTCCGAAGGCGAGCTTTATGAGTGATCGTGAAACGACGGAGTCACCTGTGGTCACGAATGGGGCGATCGAAGAGGGGTGAATGCCGCGTTCTTCCTCTCCCACTCTGGAACCGTTTTCGAAGGACCTTGATAACTCGATATCAAATTGATCAGACTAATTGCATAACCGATAGTTTCTCATATTTCTTTTTTTCTAATGTTCCTTTCCTCTGTTTTCCGTTTAACTCTGTGTGATTATTTTATTTTTGTCTTTGATTAAATGATGTTTAACTCTGTTTACTTTGAATTAGCAAAGCTTTTAGCACAGTTTGCAGATTACGCTTGAAACTATGTACGAAATGATTTTTCATGCTTAAATAACTTGCTTTAATTCATTTAATAATTTGATAACTCAACAACTTAATAATACACGAAAATGAAAATTGATTTAAAAGTGACTGTAGCATCTGAAATTTGTATATTATGTATCATTTTATTTATTTATTTTATCGTTAATGTGTATATAATTATTTAATAATAGTATTCAATAATACGACTGTTGTTTAATAAGGGATAAATTTTCAGTAGAATGTTAGTTGCAAAATAATTTATCGGTTTTGAAAAGAAAATTTTAACACGAGAAAGTTTATAAATATATTATTTATATTTGTATTTGAAAATTTTCAAAAAAATACGACTTTTTTCCTTTTTTGAATTAATATCGTATCATTATTTTATTTATATATCATTAATAATAAAAACAAACGTTAATGTAAACCAGAGATTTGAATGATAAAAATTTATATAAATATTCTTGAACATTTTGTAATAAAATTAATATTTCTAACACTTTCAAATGTGAGATGTTTCTTTTTTTCAAGTTTTGTGATGTTAATAGCAATGGTCCATAAAAATGTGAAATATTTTTAATTGCAACTGAATAAAAAAATAAATGTATAAGAAACAGCGAATGCAAAATAAACAACTAAATCATTATTATATAGAATCTAAATACAGAACGAAATCGTGCAAATCTTAAGTAACATTTAAGTTTAGAAAGGAACAGAAGATAATATTCACATTTTTTATTGAATTGATCAAGTACCGGAAGATAGTGAAATGACACAAATTCTGCATCTTTTCGCAGATTTTACGTTTGATACGTTGAATTCCACTGGCATAAGTTATCTACTGTAAACAATAAGAGTATTGAAAAGAATTTTAAATGCCAATAAGAGTATGTTTAATTCCAAAATATCATTATATCGTCACATTTTTTTTTCTTTTTATATGTTTATCATGTCTGAAAGAACGAAAGAATTTCATATCAAAGTTACGCATAAACACGAAGTTACGTGTGAATTATTGAGATATCTTATTGTAGCTTATATACATAATTGCACGTTTTAGTACGTACCTTATTTCATATTATTTAACAATCACACGTAGATTTGTTTAATTTAATATTCCTCATCCGTCGCTCTTAAATAAATGTAATGTAATTACTGTATCATTAAATTTAATATTTCGAAGAAAGCTGTGTTAAAAAAGTAAATAAATAAAGTGATGCATAAAAATAACGTTTACAATTATTTTTCATAATATAATACATATTAATACAACTTGAGTAATTAATTAATTAATTAACTAGTGATATTTGTTTTCGTTTCTTTAATTAAAAATATTTTTTCTAAGTATACTATACTAGTATATTATTTCCGAGACAAAAGTTAGGAGCAATAATAATCAAATTTCAATACATCGATTGTACAAATTAAAAAATTATAGAAGATTATAATCTACTATATATAATATATAAACTATATAATAATTATATAGATTATAATTAATAATTATAGAACTTGTTCTAGCTTTTAATTTTCTTTTCCTTCAATTTTAATTTCACATATGACTTTCCATATTCAATTAGATAGTTACTAATTTAATGCAATTTGCATTTTTTTAAATAACTTAATTATTACTCAAAAATTAATCAAATTATATCGTTACTACGTGTATGATTTCATTCTTATGAACGTAGATTCTACGTATTTAATTCATTATTTGCTTTACACCTGCTGCTTTTTGCAATTGTGCACACGTGGCGTTTAAAATTAATTAAATTATATTATTGTCACGTGACTTGTATGGTTTTGTTCAGTATTTAGATTCGACGTCGTCATTATTTATTTGCTTGGCACTCGTTTCTTCGCAATTACACGTGACATACCAATTCACCTTTGTTCATTTACAGTCATCATTGTAATTTAATATTTGTACGATTAAAATTTTATGAAAAGAAGAATTGCTAAAAATATTCTATAAAATTTAAAAAATACACATATGTATAATTTGATCAAAAACCGTGAAAGACTTTACGGTAAAAGATATTTGATTATAGAAAAACATGTACTAGTTGAATTTTCCATTTTTATTCATAATTGTAAGAAAAATCTGCTTACGTATCCAGAAAAGAATCTCGATAGATATACAAAATTCTAATATTCTACATATATAATGAAATAATCTTTTATTATGATATGATGCTAACAATAATATTTTGTAACTTATATATAAAATAATCTTTTATTTTATTCCTATGTAACATCGTGCGTTTGTGAATATTATACTTTCTGTAATTTTACGAATTTTGTACTAAAAAATTAATTTTTTGTTATTTCCTGTTATTTATTTTTATATTATTTTTTCTCCTTGTTATTTGCTTTTGTTACTATTTTGCTATTCTTCTTGTAGTTCTTTTAAAGAGATTCTTCTCTCGGTTATTTGCGTAGTTTGTTACAACGATTTTCTTTGACGAAACCGATTGTAAATCATACATTTGTGAAGAGCACGCTATCTTCGTTATACACGTGTGAATTGCAATAGAGAGTGGGTCGGGGTCCTTTGTGTGTTGCATTCTTTAGTAATCGTTACGACACGTTCTATGCGTGCTCTCCATGAATTACGTTTTTGATTCTTCATTTTCGCCAGTCTGAACTACAATTCCTTTTCTAAATACTTTTCAATATAACATCCCTACATTATTGGTTTCAATTTTCAATAATTTTACAATCTCCTCTTACAATATTAATTTATAAATTAATTATAGAATTTTTCTACAATATTAATTTCACTTTGCAACAAGAAATATTTACTTTTTTAAATAAAATTGTCAACTGTATCGTAAAATATATGAAACCAAATTTACATTGAATTAGAGTTTAACATGAGTGTATGATTTGTTACATTACATGATTATTCATATAGTTGAATGTATGTTTCACTGATAAGGAAAAGGAAGTAGCTCATTGTTATAGAATACCATCCAGACGTCCTTAAACTTGAATTCATTCATACGGTGAATACAAATAAAAATTCAGGCATCCAGCTGCATTTTAATTGCTACTTTTGAGCGTACGAGTATGGTATAGTCTATTGTACTGATGCTCAAAAGTATGTAGACACTTGTTTATTTGTGACACGATGTAATTTAATTAGAAAACTATGATATAATCCTTTATTTAAATCGGCTACGTTCTTTGGATCATTTTCGATACAATTATGATTTTCCATTATTAGCATTAGAACTACTACACATTAGTCAAAATGACTAATATAAATTTTTTTAGAAATTACAGTTAAATTATCTTTTATTTTTCATTTTATTTTTATTCAACGTCTCATGTTTACGAAAGTTGTATTTTTTAGTTTATTTACACAATTTACTGCACTATTACTTTATTATTGTTTGTAATATTAATGAAACCGAAATATGATTATATAATATGTAATATTGGTTAATTGGGTAATTTCGAATAGCAAAATGCATATATTATAAAATAGTACGTACAGTATATATATATATATATATATATATATATATGAACATTATTTTATATGTGGATAACCTCTCGTTTTAATTCTGACTAACATATTTAAATATGTATTTAAAGTGAGTAATTCTAGTTTCAAAAAATGCCTTTAGTTCCTGAAAAATGTACAATCATTATGTCATGATTTCTCGTTTTCATTTTAGTCCTGGTAGTCCTAAGTGATGTTAAGTTGTAATATATTCACCTAACGTGCAAGAAAAGATTTAGCATCTAAAGGTTAAATATTATGAAATAATTTCTATATTTAAGGAAATCCTTATTCTTAGCCCGTTTATCCATTTATATAAGATAGAGAAGGTTCTTTCCGATCGATAGAAAGACTATCATGATAAATTTAAAACAGATTAGTAATCCAACGAATTTCTATATAACTTCTATCTAACTTCAATATATTATTGATAAAGTTTCAAATAGACAATTTAAATTCCATATAATATGAATCTAGTGTTAGAAGACAAGACGATAGTAATTACTGCTCATTAGTTTTTCACTAATTCATATATTTTGGTCATATATTTAGTCACATATTTGTGCATCAAAGTGTCCATACATATTCACATTTCGATCAGATATACATATATTCATATATCTAATATTAGCATGGGGACACCCAATTTTTAATGTATACTTAAATACACTGTATACATACAAATAATTATTATTAGTATTCTACAATAAAACTAATATAGATAATAAATATAGATAATAAATTAATAAATAATATAGATAATAATATAGATAATAAATTAATAATTGTTTAATTATTAATTAATTTCTAAATAAATAATTAATAATCGATTATACGTTCAACGTTCCATGCAATTGCAAAAAATAATTGGCACTAAAATAATCAAATTAACAAATCTGCCATTTTTATATAGATAAAAATATTTATATTTATAGATTTTTAGAATTCTTTAACAGATATTAGCATGTCTTTCTTTATTTTTCGATAGATTGTACCTTTTATTTTGATTTCATTAGTAGAAATTTTATATATACTTTTGTTGTCGGTAGTTCTATTATACATACATGTACAATCAGAGAAATACATATATACATTTTTTAAATTTCAAATATTTAAAATAGAAAGATAAAGGTTTTAAATATTTTACAAATCTAATTAGTAAATAACATATAGTGAGTTAAAATGTATACAACATAC